TGATTAATAATAAAAACAAAAAAAAGATACATAAAGTTTATAGAAAATTTTGGATATATTATTACTATAATTATCATCATCTAGAATTGCCACGTGCTAAGCACAATTATCATTAACTTTTATACCTAAGGTATTARCTCTTATTTCTCTTATTAAATCTTATATTTAAGTTATTTTTCACTAATAAATGCTACTAATTAGGTATATGTCAGTGTTTTTAACAATATAAACTCATATATTTTAAAATAGACTAAAAAACAAAACCATTATTTATTCAAGTGGTGGCAAAGAAATTCAACCATCTGAATCAAATTAATCAACCTATGAAGTCATAATTAGATAATAAAATTTTTAAAATAGAAATAAATATAAAACATATAAAAAGGTAGAAAATATTAGACAGATTTATGATATTAATATTAATCAAATTAAAAAAATAAGTGTAATAAACAAGAATTATTTTTATTGATAATGAAAATAAAATATGTAATTTACAACTAACCAAAAGTTAAATTATTTTACTATTTGGCAAAGATCAATAGTTCAACTTTTAGGTCAAATGTGCTAACCTTTAATGTGATAAATAAATAATAAAAATTAATACAATATAAAATTACATAAACTTTGCAAAAAAAAAAAACATTCAGGCACATGTATCATATCATATATTTATCTTGTTAAATAAAAAATAGTAAGTGTGACATATTGAAATTATTTTTATACATATAAATACAAAAAAATTATAAAAAAAATGAACGCATCTATAATTTTACATTTACACTACTATTAAAAGTATGAATAAGATTGTGAAGTTTTCTTTTGACTAAATGATTAATTTTTGAATTTAATCCCTATTTAATTATGAGGTTTAAAGTATAAATTGAAATACTAGTTTTCACCTCATTTAATTTCCTCTATTTAAATCTTATATTATTTTGACAAATCAACAAAACAAAAATAAATCAAAAAGATAAAACATTACAAAAAAAAAGAGTCTAACCAAGCAGGTAGGCCTATCAATGATATTTGAAACTTCACAATTTCATCTAATTATCACATATTTGGATAATGTATTAAGGTATTTATGTAATTAGATTTGGATTTTGCAATTTACATTTGATTAATAATAAAAACAAATATATATAAACAAAAAAAATAAAAAATACATAAAATTTATAAAAATTTGCAATTTACATGTGCAAAGTACGTACACGCTTACTAGTATTCCAAACGCATAAAAAATGAAATCTTCTATACAACGAAATGAAACTATAGAAACCTCAAATATATTGAATTCCTTTGTGACCACAACAGACATAATAAACACAAAATCAAAACATAGACTTATCCAATGATATTGAATTGAATATTGGGTTATAATTTCTAAAGCACAAATGATCTGCATGGTCGAGCTTAGACTTTAGAAATTGAACTAAAGGTTGTGTTTGAGATAGGGTCGTTCCACTAAGAAAAGTAAAAAATGTGGAATCATCTCTTCTAATTTGGCAAGGTGTTGGATTTTGAGGAATGAGGAGGTGTAAGTGTTGGTAGATAAAATAAAAAATTATGGTCCCATTTGGCGTGTTTATTGGTGCCGGTTGTTGATTTTTTAAAAGTTTGATAGTCTATATTTTGGTCTTTCCTGTTTGGTTGGGAAAAGAATTAATCGTCAAAATTCAATCTTGAAAAGATGCAAAAAACCTATTTCAGGAAACTCCAAATAAAATCTTTTACCTTTTTTTTTTCAACTCATCTTTACACAAACAAACACACCTTAACTAAATGATGTTCAAACTATTAAGATTTTAAAGCAAAAACGCACATCTCTTTAACTATTAGAACTTTCGTAAGATCATCTACAAAAGACTTGCCAAACGGTCTCTGTATGAATGAGTGTTTTTGATATATGAACCATCAATAAATCTCTCCCAAGCATCGGTGATATGCATCAAATCATCATCCTTTTGTTTTTCTTTGCATGGGTGTCCATTGGGCGTTGGGTAGGTTGACGTTTGGAATGGAGTAGGTAAAAAAGCCTACCATCTGGCAGGAAAAGAAAATGAAGGAATCAGTCGGTTTAGGTTGAGCCTGATTGCCTGAACCAGTCCATCGCTACGGATGCGTACGTCCTATTTGATTGAAGAAGAAAGAAGACGAGAGAAAAAGAAGACAAGTGTTCATGTATCGACAACTTACGCCCCTCATTCAATGGGATGGGCCAACCTACACGCCACGGCCACGCAGAGAGAGAGAAACCCAAACACAGATCGTTCTGATAAGTGTAACGTTATATAGGGGCTCAACAGCGTCATTCAACGTCAGCGCCTTGGGACATGAGACAGGCTTTGCCACGTCAGACAGCTCTGTTTGGTGCCCACAGCCCACTCTTACGGAACCCCTGGAAACGGAACAATCTTTCATTCGGCGATGTTAGTCTTTGGGAGCGGAAGCAACGGTTCTATTTCGTTGAGTGATAACTTGCTTATTTTGATTTGAGTGATAACTCAAATTATAGGCCTTATGGCAGCAGTTTTTATTTTTTTCTTTATTTTATCTTCTATGAGTTCGGATAACGGAATCTGCAGCCAACGTCTTATCTATGTGATAATGCTCCATTTAAATTCTAAAAAAAAAACAAAACAAGAAAAAGAAAAACCTTACCCATTCCATGTGGTGGCGGTTGCAGGGGGCCTAGGAGCGGTTAATGCCCGTCGTCTCTGGGCATATGAGGTACCAAGCCCCACTCAATCTGGAGCTGCAAAACGTAGTTATTTGTCCAAATTTGATACAATTAATGAAATATCTGAATTTTATTTTTGTTTATATTCTGGTCGAATATGGATTCGTTCCTAGCTATCAGATCCAATTTAAATGTGTTTGCATATGCTTTAAAATTAATTTCTCAGTAGAATTAATTTGGATGTTGTATTTTTCATAAGGAGTCGTATGTTTAAGTTTTATACAATTTATTTACTTTTTTTCATGAATCATGAAATACAAAACATGGATAGCGCTCTTCCTTATATCTACACTTTCTTATTTTTTTACTTTTATCTTTTTTATTTTTTTTTGAAAATTTTTCAATTAATACCTTGTAGGCCGGTACTTTGGTCTTGGAATATCAAAATGCCATAATTTAATATTCAAACATTCAAAACGTGCCAATCCAATATCTATCATTAACTAACCGTCAATTATGCATATCACGTGATGATATATACAGTTTAAAATTTTTAAAAATATCAAAATTGTCCTTCAAAAATACTATTCATTATTTTCTTCCACAGGGATTAATATTGAACCAAAGCAATGGTAAACAATCCTAAACCATTAACCATTCATCAACTTAACAAGTCAGTTTTATCTCATGTCCTTTTCTCGTTCATTCACTTTTTGTTCCACTCACTCATTTGTTTTGTTATATATCTGTTTAAGTGTTGGGCATGTGTTTCTCTTATTTTTCATTAATCGATCATACATTTATTGGATGGTCTAAGACATTTCTGGTCTAGATTGAAAATATTTATGTTCAATTCTTGAATGGTTACCAAAGAAAATTAGATGACAGGCATTTGTATTTGATTAACAAGAAATACTGAATTAATACTAAATTGTCACGCTTTTAAAATTCAAATTAACAACAAATACTGAATTAACACTTATGATACATCAATAGAAACATCAAAGTCTAATATGATATTACGAACCCAAAACGTTTCCCCCCTCGACATTTGAGCTGGCTGCTCCTAGTCCACTACCAGGTGAACAACTCTGTTTTATAAATTAGTTATAATGTAAACGTATGAACTCAACCTAGTCCTTAACACTGGTTAAACTTTGTAAGTTAAATATCTAAAAGAGTCCAAAATAAAGTGACATTGCCACCGTACAAGTCTAAACCGAGCACTATTCAGGGATCACTACATCTCCACTAAGCCATATCAGCAGACATAACCAAAATGGCTTTGATTTCAAATTTGTTTTATGAAAAACCTTCAACTTCATGATGTAAAAATCTGGCTTCGCCACAAAAAATTTATACGACCACGACCACGACCACTCGAAGAAAGTTCGGGAGTCTGAAGTGTGGACTGAGGACTCCGGACCTTATGGTAGGGACTCGCCTGATTTCTTTGTTCTTAAGTAAATTTGTCTTGACATTGAAGAATGTCACACACAGCGCGCTTACCGAGAATCGCGATTCCTGTCCCCCACACTTTCCCGTACTCCGTCCCCACCCACGACGTATAAATATCGCCGAACGCACTTATCAAAACTTCCAATTTTCAATACAATAAATAAAGAATCCTATGTATAAGAGCACCAAGTGAGAGTCGTGACTCGTGATAATTGATAAAGCCACACCCCTATCTTCCCTTTTTGACCATCCGTCGGTTGTTCTCCCTATAATGCCGTAAAGTTTCCCTTATTATTATAGGGTATATTATTATAAAAGGGGCTTTGAATTTGACGCGCGCTAAAATACGGGAAAGGACAAGTGGCTACCCCATCCTTGTTATATTCGACGAGGATAATATTGACATTTTCTTTTCGGTACATGCGAATGAGAGAGTTAAAATGATCAAATTTCCCCTCGCCCTCGATCTCTAGAATATACTCTTCGTGGGACCCACGTATATAGGGACCCTTCCCTAGAGCTATCGATCATTCGATCATACTCCGTCGTCTGGCTGCTACTGGCTAGTGGCTGGCTGCTTTTTCTTCCTCACCCACCCTGCACTTCCATTCAGTTTGTGATAGGTGTCCTATCCATCCTATTGCACATTGTTATCGATTTTCTTGACTTTGTATTCTCTCCGCACACTAGACACAAACTCTAGTAGTGGTAGTAGTGTTCGGTGTTCTAATAGAATCTGGATTTGGTATGAATGAGGCGCGTTCTGTGACCGAGTGTGAGGAACAAATCCGATTTCTGTTGAGACAAACAGAAAAACCAGAGGCAAGAAAGAGAAAGCAAACGAAACAATAACATGATGTCATGAACAGGAAGGAGAGACCTCGTAAGAAAAGATTCTCGTAGCCGTATGCCGCACGGCTAGTATTTCTTAACAACTTAACGTATATCTACATTCTCTTGACTCTCTTGAGTCTGTTCCTCATAGTCATACACGCAAAAGAAAGAAAAGAAAATAAGAAACATATGTTCAGTCTTGGGCCCTTGGCTTGGGTGGTTGCGTAGTCCCCAATATGCGATATCGTTGCAAGCAACTTCCTCCCAACTGGGAAAAGGAAAACCGGCTTCATTAACTTCCAAAGAACCCAAGTACCTGAACTCTACCCAGCGTATATGTACAGTAGTCGTAGGCCTCCTCCTATACATCATACGCTTCACGCTTTTTAGTGGCAGCATTTTCTTTACTTTTTTTTTTCGTTCAAGTGAGGTCGTTCATGGATCTCTCACCTCCTCCGCTTGTAATCCACGGATGTCCTATATCCATCAAAAAAAGAGCAAGCCCAAACACCTTTTATCACTATCTCGTTTTACAGATTCTGCAAAGATTTCATCTGTTACCAATCCCTAAAACATCGCGCACTCCTAAACCACCAAAACCACCTTAAATAGAACCCAACTAACAAACAGAAAAGCCTTATAAAAAAACAAGTGACAGCAAAAACTAACCGAAGAGGCTCTCTCTCTCTCTCTCAAGACTCAAACAGAATACCCTTATAAAAAAAAAACAAGTGACAGCAAAAACTAACCGAAGAGATTCTCTCTCTCTCTCTCTCTCCCCCCCCCCACACACACAGAAAATAAAACTATAAAAGTAACAAAAGAAGAAAAATCAGATACGAGAACAAAGGTTGTAATCTTAGAAAAAGAGTTAGTCAGGGATAAGAAATGTTCTTAGAATTCCAAGCGCGATAGCAATGGCTACTCTTTTTACTCAAAAAAAAAAGAAAAAAAATAATGGTTACCCCGAAAAATCTATGAAACCTTGAAGAGCGACTTTTGAACGCCGATAAACAGGAGAAGTTAGGGATCCTTTTGTCAGAGATGAGTAAAAGAAATACAGAGAGAAGGGAAGAAAAAAAAACTTACTTAGTACTTGCTCTGCAGAGAATCTCCTCGAAACGTCTTTACAGAGCATCTTCCGAAGAAGATCCTTGGCTGCTGGGGACACGGAATGGAAGATCCGAGTCGGAAACCGAAGATTGGCACGAAGAACAGCGTCAAAAATCTCGGTCGCAGAATCACCGTAAAAAGGCGGGATTCCGGCCAACATTATGTACATAATGACCCCCGCGCTCCAAACATCCACCTTCTCACTGTAATCCCTCCCAGAAAGAACCTCGGGAGCAACATAGTACGGGGTGCCAACGACCCCCCTCATAGATCTCTCCTCGTGAAGGCAATCGGCCGAACCAAAGTCAGCGAGCTTCAGTCTGTTACGATCATCAAAAAGCACATTATCAGGCTTGATGTCCCGGTGAGCAACACCCCGCCTGTGACAATGAGCGATTGCTTCCATTAGCGGCAACATAACGGCAGCCGCTTCAACTTCGGAAAAAATCCGCTTAGAGACACGATCGTACAGATCAGAAGAGTTGCAGAGCTCCATGACCATGTGAAGATAGTTGTCGTCTTCGTAAACATTGAAGAGCTGGACGACGTTAGGGTTGCCCTTGAGAAGATGCATGATCTTGGCTTCTTTCTCCAAGCATTCTCGATCGACGGAGTCAGACAGGAGGCGCTTGTCAATGGTTTTGCAGGCGAAGAAGTCACCGGAGTCGGGCGAGAAGCACCGATAGACGGTACCGAATCTTCCCCGGCCGACCTCTTCACAGACCTGGTAATCCCTCTTCAGACCCTCACACATCTCCTAATTTTTCGGTCTAGTTTAAAGATCCAAAGAACCGTAACTCCGTATTTATAAAGAAAAAATGTTTTCGAATGTCACGGGCGAATATTCGCTGCATAGATCTGCCCGGTAAGAGTCATCCACGTAACGCATCGAACGGCTACAACTACTCCATATGGCAATTACTGCAAGTATTCCTCCCAAAGTAGGATTGGTTTTTGCGTTGAATTACCTAAATGCCCTATTCTTGGAAAGGAAGTTTTTGCGTTTGCAGAAGAAGAATGCGATTGCTAGTAGGCCAGGGGAACAGATGATGAGATGAGAGAAAGAAAGTTGGACTTTACCCCGAAACTTGGTGTTAATTGCAAGCTTTGCCATTGTTTGTTAGTTTACGATCTCAGCGTCAATTAACTATTCCATAAAGAATAGAAAAACCTACACCTTTCATTAATTAAATGTAAATATTCAGAAGGAAATAAATAAATTAATAAAAATTAAGTGGCTATTACCCTATTAAACGTATTTATTATCTAATAAACAGGCAAAAGATGTCGACAGGGAAACAGATGGATAGTAGTTGCCTAGTTGGTTAGAAGAATATATATTATATATAAAAAGAGAGAAAGTATCGTGAAGCACTGATGCCCTTCAAGGGAGGGGAACCCCACGTTCACCAGATTTATCTAATACATCGAGATCGTTCATCTGGTTTGCCTTTGGATAAGGAAGGGGGAGGGGCCCCACGCCCCTGATTAAGGACTAAAGATAAAGTTTTATGCATGTGTCATGTGTGGGACACAGTGAAAATAATCAATCTAACCAATCAATAAAAAGTGAAAATAATGAGGAATGAGTGACACTGCTGGACAAGTATTAGGCATAAGCGGTGCCAGGTGCCTGAGTGTTGAGTACGTGTGAAATTGTGATCACAGCAAACGTAGAACTGTAGAAGACGATGGACATGAGGTTCACTCATTCCTCGTCCTCGTGAATACTATATAGTATAGTCATTCAGCTTTTTTCACGTCTCTCGCTCGTTTTTGCCTCTTGCTATGGCTATTGTCTTGCAGCAAAAAAATAAACAATAACCGTCGTTACAACTGTAAGTAACGGTCATGATCATCCTAATATCAGAGCCAATACTTCAGTTAGGACTTATTAAAAAAGGTAGAAGAGAGAAAAGTAGTGTGGAATATAAATAATATCGAGAGAGATGTGAGATGAAGCATATATAAATTCAGAGAGAAGTTTGGGACGTGAGAAAAGTTGGTACAAAGGAAGGACGGTGGTCACAAGGGTAACAGAAGAAAGAGAGAGAGAGAGACAGAGGTAAGGCAAAACTAGAATGAGATGGTATTTGTCCCTTCCTTCGATTGTATCGTTGCACTGGGATAGAGGAGGAGAGCACAGCACTGGGTTAGAGTACAAAGCAACTTTTTTGCTCTCCTCTCCCCAGTCCTCAGTCCTCAGTCCTCAGTCCTGTCTCCAGTCTCCACTAGGTAGTAGGCACTACCTAACTAGCATAGCAATAGGCAATATAGCAACTTTTATTTGTTTGTTGTCATCGATAAACAATAACCTTTCATCTGCTGCTGTCGTTTGTTTGGTTTTCGCGGCCTACAAAGCGGAGCGTGCCTGAAAGTGGCTTTCTGTTTGTGCCACGTGGTGAGATTGAGTTGATCGGGGTCCATCATCCATGCATGTGGATATCACTGCTACTTCTCCCAGCTAGTTACTAGTATTTGGTATTCTTTGTTTCACTTTCACTTGGGAGTTGGGGCAGGCCCAGGCCGGCCCCTTTAATTTGCCTATACAAATTAAAAGAATCATGGTCACACAGCATATGGAGCTGGCCAAGGCAAGGCGTTTGTGCAGGAGGATGCATGCATGATGCATGGAGAGTTTATGAGGTCTAATTAGACACTCACGCAGCTGATCATGAGAAATAGTTTAATTGGCCCAATTATATCTGCATTAATATTATTTTCATCATGACAAAAGTGTGCCATGCTGCATACTGTACATATGATATTATGTGTTAGGCTGCTGTTAACAGTCAACACCATGCACGCATGATATAATTCTGGGTGAGATAAATAATGGCAGGGAGGAGAAATTTTGAGCATGATTTAAAACGTTAATTTGCTCGTACTAGACAATTAACTTGTTGACTGACTGGTTCATACATAAATTTGAGATTTAATATTTGGAAGCTTAATTTTGTCTATATGGTGACCCAAAACGTACGAATGTAGCTTTAGTCGCTTGTCACAATATTGAAAACTAATAGATATTAATGTATATATATATATATATATATATAGCTTAATTTAATTGTATATAACTTATTATGAGAATTCAAAGACAATTAGGACTGTTACTTGCGAAGAAAAAGCGGGGATTGATGTCGACAAGAAAAACATATAACAAAACACGTTTATAATTCAATGCGTTTTTGACCACATAACCAATAACCAATTCTGTATGTGAATGGAAAATAAATGAATAGTGTTCTAGTCAATGCTTCAGTCGTAGTAGACGATCCAAGTTCATGTTGTAGGGTGGTCATTTAGGTACATACATGCATTATAATAAACTAATGCAGATGTGGGGTGTTTTAGTCTTTTTTAAAAAATGTATTTTTTTGACTAATAACAAAATATTAAACTAGACTCCCCATAGTTAAAAAACAATCAGAAATATGAAAAGAAGAGACAGAAATAAGTAGCCAATTCCACAAGGTCCCCTACTTGATCGACTACTAGTTAGGATTAGCTATATCAACAAATTAGATTTCCTGCCTACTACTCTCTACCCACACTAATGGGTAAAGACAGGGATAAAGAAAGTGAATAGGAAATCAGGTAACGAAACTCCCCCTACTAGGCCAACCAGAGAACCTTTTTTTCCTAATTAAATAATATAATTATATATGGGTGTGGGTATGTATTTGGGTGATGATGATTGAGCTAGCCAAGAATGATATGTGGCAATGTTTGTGGCCACCCCTTTTTCAGACCGACCATGTTGAAATATGGTCAAGGAAGCGGACCATGTTGAAATATGGCAATGTAACGGAAGAGACCGACCATGTTGAAATATGCTGCATGGACAAGGAAGCGGACTCTACCAGAGAAGAAAAAACCTCTCAAAGACCTCAATAAATGCTCTCATCTCGACAATCCCGAAAGACCTATCCATCTAGGACACAGACGTCCAACTATAAGTAGGTATTCCCTRCTCGAGATAAGGGATCTCTTTTAGAACAACACTATTTGAATACCTCTTTGCCTTAGACCAACGCTTTTTCAACTTGCCCGGCCCAACCACATCCTTCTCGATCCTACTTAAGCGCCAAAGTACCTATCCGAAGAACAATTCCTTGGACCTCTAACCTTTCTCCTGGTTGCAGATTTCGATATACAACTTCGTCAAACCTCCTTGATCTCTCTGACTGTATTTTCGATTCGTCAATATGCTTTATTTGGTTTTGCTGCATTCAAATAAAATGTTCTACATGCCATATTATAAAACATACTTCTGTGGCAATATCATGAATTTCCTTGTCTCCAATTATGGAGTAGCTGACAGCCCAAAAGTATGCTACATCCCATTTAAGACTCTAGCTTACATTATAGTAATTCTAAATTTCTATGGTCAATCTACTCTACCGTACCTTCATTACTAATTGAACCATGCATGAAGATAAATAGATTGGTGAACGAAATAAATATACTCTATTTAGTAAAACAAACCAGTTTTTCGATGAATATTGTATCCATCTTATAATAACCTAAACACTTCCATCAACTTGTTTGCACTTGTAATTATTTTCTGGTAGCATATATTAATTAGTGTTGTAAACAAATTAAAGAGACAAGTACACTACTTAATTAATTTCCCTCTGGCTAGACTGATCATATTGTGTATGGAACTGTGACAAAGCAAATTTGATTATTTGAACACAACCCAGGCCCTACAAGTCCCACCAGTAATATGAAATTTGTAAAACTAAGCTCATTTTATTCTAATTAGAGTGGTTTTAGTCAGCAGAACGACATCTGGCTGTTTATATATGAATAAATAATTAAGCTCAATAAGGGAGTCCCCTCTAGTGCTTCGGGGGGTTGTCATTGAGACATGGACGGAATTTGAAGCAAGTTGTGCAAACCATTCGTGTATACAAAAAATGGGTGGTATCACGATCTCGAATGCACGACTCTACTCAATTGTTTATTTTGAAGTGCGACTCTGCTGCGTCGACAAACCTAAATTAATTAATAAGATACCTACCAAATTACTTGTGTCGCCTTACTATGTTAGTTGTTTGCAATGGCGCCATGCCGCATAACCAGTGACGAGGCTGTGAGCAAACACAAACCAACAAATATTGATCAATAAACTAYCAGAATAAAAGCAAAAACGCTTACAATTCTACCTCACTATATATATATATATATAAACCATCCTATTGTTTTAATTTTTGTCCCACCACTATAACACACACACACTAACGTGCAAGCCAAGCTAAATTAATTCTATTGTGTTATGTATTTATACAATGACGTCAGACCCCATGATTGACCAAATTAATTTGTGACAAAGACCTGAGCAACCAAAACGATTATATAAACAATTAAATAAAGAATATCTTTTCTACCTAAAAGTTAAAAATAGAAACAAAAATATCTGAAAGAGATGCCTAATTAGATCTTTATGTGTAAAGTAGAAACATCAAACATGGGTATTGTTGGTATCATTGTCATTACTACCTGCAATGTTTAGGGTTTATCGATGCAAATTTTTTAGACTTATCACATGTCATAAAATAGTCCCTTTGACTAGAAAAATGCATGCATGATATTAATTATAGATGAATCTGAACTTTTTGAGATTTGAGCAAGAAATTAATGACAAAAGAAAAATATTGGTAATGGCAATGATACCAAACTACACGACAATTTTCACGAGGGATCATCCCATGCCATTTGCCAATGCCCTCATGGATTGTTCTTTCCATTTCTCTATTTACCTGGTTATTATTATTTATTAATTAATAGATATTTATATTTTGTAAATCCCACTTTTCCTAGCTTGCGTATATCATCTACCGCTCACCCAGGGTTGAAAGGGTGAACCACTCATCGGCCGGATAGCTGATCACCCAGGACCCAGCCAAATTTCTGGGTCAATGCCCGGGTTGGTTTTACTAAACATTGATTGCAAATCTAAACTTTCAAAACCTTGGGCAGTTATGTATTCAACGATAGTCTTCATGAATGTCACCTTTTATAGTGTTATAAAAGGTAAGTCAGGTAGAGATGATTCAGTTTATAGTACTGCTGCTATGTTTTCTTTTTTAATTATTAAAGTCGAAGCTTTTATACATCTCTCTGCCCACTAAATATTAAATTTCTAATTTCCCTAAGATTCTAAATTTATATTATATACTTAACTTTGGGAAGTCACATTCAGAAAGGTGCAGCATATCTTTGAATTTTACATTTCAAATAATATATAGATATATTAATTGCAGTCTTTTGGTACTTTAGACAACCTTCCACCATTTCTCAGATTTTTATTTGTTTCGTTTACTTGGTTAGTTTAGTGGGTGGTGGCATATGAATCTATACTTTATTTCGATAACTACACAGTTGCTTAAACAACAAATAAAAAGACAGAAGAAAAATAATCAAAAGCAAGAACCCAGTTGGAACTTGGCAACAACAGATCGATTTATTTTTATGAAGTCGGTCGACGTTGCCTTCCATAAATCTTTTTTTTTTTTTTTCCTTCTTTTTCATTGTTTGGCTTGACAACTTGTGGGTGGAAATAAGAAAATTTGCATGTATAACTGCAGTGGACTGGCTGACTTGAATCCCTTGGGCCCATCTAACTTTGAAGTCAAGCATGTTCACACAGACACACACGTAAAAGAATTTTCTTGGAGACTTGGGCTTGGACTCTTTGAAGTCAAGACTTTTTCACACACAGACGCGTAAAAGAATTTTCTTGAGGACTTGGGCTTGGGCTTGGGCTTTTAAAACCCGTTCTACAAGTTTCACCCAGTATGCCTACTGAATAGAGAGATAGGTCAATTACTTGGACCATTCAGCTTCTTTGTTGGGCTGATTCAATATATGTTATTAGTCTCGGCAGAGCTACTACTTAATGCTCAGTCTCATGAAAGTTCTCTTTATGGAACATTTGCAATAGCCCCAGTAAAGTTCGACAAAGCTTAGGTGATCAATAATTTGTCATTTTATACTTTGCACTGCGTATTCCATTAGTTTTTTTTTATAGGTCTCAAAAGATTAATAGATGCGGGAGAAAAGCTAGATTTTTGTTTTTTTTTAATTTCTATGTAGCTCTGTATTTCAAAAAATAAGGATATTCGGATCGTCATATCTAATAGGAATTCGCATCTGCGCCCCACATGCACATCTCAGCATGCATTGGGGAACATCTCCTGTAGTTATCACTGGGAAACGTTCTCAATACACGGGTGAGATATGCTGTGGTGTTGTCTGTGGGATGCAGATGCAAATTCATCTGATAGAGGGGCCTTGTTTGGTTGTAATTATGGTTTTAAAAATTGGATCAGACCAAATGGTCGGGTCGGTTGACCCAGGAGCTGGTTAGGTAGTTGGTTCCGTTTCACCCTAAAACCATTTTTTGGCCAAAACCATTGATTTCATCAATGATCCATTTATCTGGGCGGTTAAATTATCGATCCATCAACCCAGATAACRGTTTTTGACTGTTTTTTATTTTATTCATTTTTTAATTTTTAATTTTCTTAAGTATTCTGAATGGGCTGTCTGTTTGAACCGGATGGTCTGACCGTTCAACCCAGTATCCAGTCCTATAACGGTTCCGTATCCAGTCCGGTTTTTAAAACCTTGAAATAGTTATCCAGTTTAGTATTCAACCACTATCCAGAAAACCCAAAAGACACAAATCAAGGGGTCGCAATTATCATGTCTGGTGAAGTCACAGGTTACATTTGGTTCTTCTGAATGTCACAGGTTACAATTGAGTTTGATCCCTGGTATCTTTTCCCTTTCGCTATTCAAACTGCCGGTATGCTTTCCGGCTTCAGCAGGCGGGAACTCTTTACTTCTTTCATGTTCTAGAAATGCCCATCTTCGCAAGCTTCTTAATGGAATCTTCAACGACCTTCAAACCAATAGCCTAATACATGGAATTAGGTTTAAAATGCAACTCAATGATGCGAAAAGCAAAAGAAGAAAATGTGGCCACTTGAATACAAAGTCCTTTCTTGACTTGTTGCCACCACATCACCAATAGTAAGTAAAAAGTATAGAAAATATAGAGGGGTTTATGGACAAGAATCATATTCTGGAGGATCAGAATTTCAACCAACTACGGTGCATTAGTTTTGTTGATGTATTGTTTGGAATTTGAATCTCCCCAGTATAGTATATCCATGCATATCTCAAATTTTCCACTGTATCCACGTGTTACAGCCCAATAAATCTCTTAAAAGCGCCTATCCAATACTCTTTTCATTCCAATACTATGAACCTTAATCTCACGCAAGGTTCTTTCAACAGGAGCTTCAGTATTCACAACCCCACACCTTTTCCTCATCTTAAAAGTCACTAATTATGCACCTTCTTAATCTTCAGCTCCATCAAGGTATTCTTTTGTTATCCACCAAATTTATGTCAAAAGAAAAAAGAAAAAAGCATCGCTTCTTCTTTACCTTGCAAACTCTAAAATAACTTCTTTGATTTGCAAGAGAGTGTCACAAGGTGAAGGAACTTAAGATAACTTACTAGCTTTTCAATAGAATATGAAGCACCCTTGAAATTGAATATTCCCAATAATTGATGAAAATAACTTCCTAACTCTGCAAAACTCAAGAGAGAAAAGTTTCTTGAATGCAAGCAGTGCTGCATGGATATGGAAGACTGGAAGTCTGAGTGAGCAAATTGAAACCATCTTACAGACAAAAAAGATGGTGTCTTAATTCTTAAAAAGAAGGTATTCTCATAAAAGTGATACTAGAAAGAGCTTAATTACCTTATTAAATGTGGATGCTTATATCTGCTACTGCTCTATGGAACAACTTGGAATTCCAAATGTATTTCATATGTTCACAAATGAAAAAGAAAATGTAAGAAGAAAATAGAAAGCAATACGAAGAAGTCACAGTAGTTCTATCATTAATTTACAAGAGTTAATGCAGCGCCAGGTATGATGCCAAAGAAACCATATACTTTGTAGTACCAAGTGCATGTCTCGTAGATATAGATCATGTACAAAAGATAGACAAGAAATTAGTTAGCAGAATGGTTGAGAGTCTTAAGACCAACAATTTTTGACTGATGGAATCCAATGCATATCTCCATCTGGGACAGTTATACGAATTACATTAGTCCATGCCACACTAGGCCCATCTAATAGATATTCCTTTTCATTGTCAAATTAATACAGAAAATAATACGGGCCGAGATAGTCTGATCATGCTGATTATTGGACCAAGCAATCTCTATGGCAGAACCCATAGATATCCCGAGCATGAAACACCTGCAAATTTGGCACCAAATAACTTCTAATGTACGGCTACAATGGCCCCGGAGTAGGACTATTTTGGTGCTCTATGATCTTAAGCTGGCTCTTGGCTGATTTTATTGTTGAGGGGACTACCAACTGCTAAGTGCTAACCTACAGAACCAGATCATCTAATGACCCCGCTGGCTTTCTAGCAAGGTGAAAGAATGGTTGGAAGAGAACCTCGCCTTGGGTCTCTAGGCCCTGGACCCTGGGTCCCACAAGCAGGACTACTTTGAACTCCTGCAATTTATTTGTTTATATAAGCTTTTAAGCCGTGTATCTTTTTAACTTCAGCCCCTTGACTTGAGTTGGAGAGATCTCTCTTCTCTCTTTTTCTTATTAAATTATTAATGAACTCTCTTTGATCATGGATTGATGATTACAGATAATTAAATACTATCACTTTGTAAGCACATTGACCGTGTGCTCTCCTTAGTACATATTTGCATCAGCGTGAGAAACTTGTTTATACCTTACAAGCTAAAGGAACATAAAGTTTTTATCAAGCACTTAAATGTATATTATACATACATTCACCCACTAATTCTTTTCCTCAAGGATCAATACTTTCTGTTTCTGGTGCATTTAAGATTAGTTCAGTCAACAACCTCCTATGCCTCCTGCAGAAAACAACAATTACAACTTAGTATGTCCTCTAAATGACCTAGAAATGTTTTTATTAATCTATAAAGAGGGTAAGACTCCTGATCCAAGTAAATGAATTTCCAACCAACCAAATGCTTGATAAAAACAACCTGAACATGCAATTAGTTTTTAGAGAATCAAGGGAAATAAAAGGAAAAAGAAAAGAAAATAACAGTCTATTTTGTCCAAGCAATTCAATATTCCATAATTCAAAATGGTATCCCAAAATAAGCAATCACTTGTGCATAATGTGAATCCAAGCAATCTAAATGGCCTACAACTGAAAAGTGAAAACAATATTCAAAGATAAAACAAGAACCCATTTAAATTGTTCCACAACAAATTGGAGCCAAAGTTGGGTATCTAGCAAGCTACTTTGGTTGATCCATTTACAGAAGCAAGCAAAGACCAAATATAAGTCAAACAAGTCAGAAAATATAGCAGATCCATGGGTCTTAACTGAAGAGCCCAGGATGAAAATGCCCATTCGGTCAGGCAAGCCAGACCAATTTAGCTGTACTAGTTGATAAGGATCAACTCCTCAGCAACAACCCTCTTTTCTCTAATTTTGCTTCTTTTTCCTTTTCCTATGAACCACACATCAGATTTAGACTTGCTTGTCAGTGCGTATTCCACTCATGACAGTCATCCACTCTAAGTTGATGACTAAAATTTCTAAGGTACTCAGTCAAGGGGACCACTTTAGAGGCCAGTATCATGGGTTCATAGGTTGAATAGGGGTAGAGGTGTAGAATTAATAGCACCATTAATATGATTACAAAAATTTTTGGTAAATTAAGTACATAACTACTGAGTACAACTAACCATCCATGCTTCATCCCTGATCTGTCAAGTTTTTCTCACCGCTGTGTTGGATCAGGTGGTCCATACAAAGAGGAACATGATTGCGGAGCAGAGAATTGAATTGCACTGGTGCGTCGTTTCTTAGCTAAAGAAGATTCAGCTGTGGAGCAAAAGTCTTCTTCATCTCTTATCAAGGTCTCAGCTCCATGGTTGTCATAGTGTAAATGCTGCTGAACTGGTCTTTCATCTTCCCAGTATTTTGTCCTCTTCCGCTCATTAGAATCCTTGTTGAATGTATGAAATGAAGGAACCTTCAGATCATGAGAAGAACTGATACTGTATGGAGATTTTTCCTTGATTACAACCCTTGGAATTGCCAAATTTTCAATAGCATCAGAGTTGTCAACAACAACTTCTATTGTTCCATCAGAATTTGCAGTCCTTGCAACTGCTTCTGATTCCTGCATCGCGGATAAAGCATCCATCAAACGCTGTCTTGCCAAATCTATTGGGATTATAGGCTTCGGATAGTTCAAACCCAACTCCATCCCTGCAGCTTTGAGAACTGATGCTGGAGCATTCCAAGGATGATGTATCCATTCAGTCGGCATTCTTGCCAGCTCAGGAAGCCAATGCCTCACATATTCACCATCTGGATCAAATTTGAAGCCTTGAACCTAGTATTGAAAGAGATGAAAGAAAATTAAAGTGCAAGAAAAGAGGAACTTATAAGAGATTATTTTCACTGCTATAAACTATAGACATCTAATTGTAAGTGTTCCAAACAACAACAACAATAATAATAATAATGATGATTATGATCATGATCATGATAACAGACCATAATAACAGTTTTCTGCTATGCAAGTTATACTTGTATATAAATTTATTTAGAATATTCTTGAAAGAGAAATACATAATTCTTCTAATAAAGTTTCAAAATCCATATTTTAAGTCTAAAGGTTGTGGGGTTCAAGTGTCAAAGACTCTTTGTTGCATTAATCTTTATTGAAATTGCCCCAGCCAGGGCCTTATAAAATAGGAGAAGCAACATACCTCTGGACTGTCTAGACGGTCAAGTTCATGGCCATCAGGTAAGCTGCCTGAGATATACTGCCAACCTAGGATGTCACTTTCCAGGTCAGCATCCAATAATGTGTCCCAGAAGTACTTCATCCCCCATCTCCATGGCAGCAGCAGGAACTTAACAAAGAAACTAGCAACAATCACTCTAATCTTGTTGTGTATCCATCCTGTCGCCCAAAGCTCTCTCATTCCAGCATCCACCAATGGATAACCAGTTCGACCCTGTCTCCAAGCCTTAAAGTCACCCTGGTCATCACGCCAAGGAAAATATCTCAAGTTTCCAAGCAATGACCTCTCATGTGTAAATGGAAAGTTGAAACAAATGTACCGTGAGTATTCTCTGAGGCCAATGGTCCTGAGAAAAATCTTTACACTCTTTTCTCCAATAGAGTTCCCTTCTTTTGCCCACAGTATTTCTTTCATCCGTACACACTGGTAGACTTTTCTCACACTTAGTTCCCCAAAATGTAGATATGGTGACAAAAGTGATGTGGAGTCTCCCTCCACCTTGGTCCTGTTTCTTGAGTAGTTAAGTAGATGATGATCAATAAAATCAATTAGAGCTTTATTTGCATTGCTCCAGCCTGGAGACCATGCTCTTCCCAGCAAGGCATTGCTAGATTTTTCAGATTCATCTTCAAGACCCAGCTCTTCAAGTGAATTGCTTTCAACTTTCCCTGTCACAGTAAAACATGTAAAAAAGCTTAAGCAAACCATACTTCTTGTAGTTTTACTCCTTTTGTTTATTTATATTTTTCATTATTATTCTAGTATATAGAATGGGATAGGCCCTATGATCATGTTATTATAAGATAAGTCACAACCAAAAGCAAATCTACATCCTTAATTGATATTACATACTTTATTAGTGTTTTTATTGCCTATTTTTTCATGTCTCATTGTATCTGAAATCGACACCAAAATAAATTTTCCCAAAAGAACCTAAATAGTAGATATGGCTAAAAGACTGGAACAAACCTGCAGATGGCACCAACTTCCATGGAGGAAGAAGCAAAGCAGGTTCAGTTGGTCCAAGCAAGCACCTATTCCAGAATGCATTGAAGGTTGTAAAAGCATGTCTCTTATCATCGTGCACCTCCCATGGTTCATACAACAAATCTCCATTAAAGCTTTGCACAGAAATTCCTAAGTCTACCAGATTCTGTTTGACGCTATTATCCCGGGAAAGGGAAACAGGATCTGAGAAGAGGGAAGTTTATGGTTAGAAATAAAACAAAAAAGTATCACAAGCTGGCTTAAGAGATCTGGACAGGAAGCCACCTGTTAATTTGCTTTCTTACTGGTGCAAGTAAAGCAGTTAACAAGGATCACTTTCAGATGTAAATTACAGTAAGAGGCCAAATTGCTAGAAAAGCCGGTTGGACATTTCTTATACCAAGAGACTAATCCAAATTTAACTAAAAATAAGATTATTAATCCAATGGTCAAGTACAAAATATTTACTATTGTACTCAATTTTTCAAGACTTCAACATTAAGAAATATCTGCTTGAGAACCAAATGAAGATACCAGAAGGGAAGCACCTGTTCTAATTAATGTAGCATCTGGATGCTCCTAATTAGAACACAGTTCCAGATATCAAAAAGTTCCGCTATCCCAGGAAGATACCAACACGTCATGTGGAGTAGGTTAAACTCTAGAAAATGCATCATCAACATTATCACAACAACAACAATAACAATAATAAAAATAAGTCAGATACCACATGCATATGCATTTCAATGATGCTTTTCTCAACAGACAGAGCCTTCCTAAAGACGTATTTGTACACAGCAACTCCCAGCCTATTGTGCACACAGAACAATAAAGGAAAACCAAGCATTATTTTCTTCATCCGACAGCCTTAAATGTTAATATCTTCTTAAGGATCTGAATAGTACTCCATCTTCTACTATTTGTTCGGGTCCTTGGCTCCCCTTCTATAAGTCAATGCTTTAAAATGCAGAAGCATGACACAGGGCACAGAAATCTTCTAATGTATTAGGATTAAGCTTCAATATGTGAGGATTAAGTCTCATGAAATCCCATTATTTAAAGAAAAAATAAGCATGGACTAAAATGTCTACTATAAACTATGCAGAAAGGACTACGATTTTATATAAGAAGAATATGTAAATGAGTTACACATTATATAAATAAGGGGTAAAAAAGTGATAAGATCTTCCTTAAATCCTTCTAGACATCTAGAAAGCTCTTATTGCAAACCAAAACCTCAAAAGGAGTGTTGAAAATCCTAAATATGTATACAAAATTACAAATTAAAAAAAAAAAAACATGCCTGCAAATCTAAGAGTCGGTATTTAACTCATTCATGCATTTCATACTGCAATTAATATTATAAAAAACTTGTTCTTGGCATAAGGCACCTTAAACTGTAGTGTAAATGCATTAGACGTGAGCCTCAAGGTTGAGATTCAGGGTGTCTTCTTTAGGCCTAGCCTCCAAGAAAACCTTAAGGAGTAAGACTAAGATCAGATGAAACTTTTTACCAATAGCTTGTTATCATTTTCTGGCACTTGGGTGCGCTAAACCTCATCCCAATAGCTTGTTATCATTTTTTGTTTTGATGAAACTTTTTACCATCAAAAGATTAAGGAGGCTCAGCAACATTCTAGATCACATCCTTTACTGGGGGTCAAGGTCTACATATTTTCCATGGGCTACCAAAGGAGAACTCAGCCTGCCTGACTTGTTTTTAAAAAGGAAGTTCAGAGGCAACCTTTGTACGCATGGAGCTCTGCTCGCTAATTTCTGTTCTTTACATCCTGCATATTATAAAGTGGTGGGACCCATAAATACATGTATAACCTTGTCTATTATGTCTTGTACTGTGTATTTTCATGGGTCTCAGTGCCTGTGGGGCGAAGCTTACAAGGATTGCATAAACCGTTGTTTACAAGAATTCCTCCTTGTTGATGTACGTTGCTTCTCGCGAAGATTGCCATTTTAGGCCATTAGAATTTTGACTTTCTATATCTACTCCTATTTTGAGAGTTGCCCCTTCTGGATTCCGTAGTTCATGTTAACGAGGAATTCAATTAACAGAAAAGGGAAAGATATTAATCAAATTTCAAAATAAGTAATCCTACATATGCTTCATATAAGATAGTAATCCATATTCAATCAACAGAATGGAAAAGATGCAGAAAATATCCACAAAAGCATTCCTTTTGGACTCAATAATTGCAAAATGTTGTAAAGAACGCAGTCTACACCATTAGTCTCTTTTATATATGGATCAAGAAAAGAATTCGACAATGCAAGTAAGACATTGGTGAGGGGTGTCGTGCTCATCTCATGTCCAGACAATCAAAGACCATGTACTGATCAAAATAGTTACGCACCAAAGTATGAAATCAGAGCATACCATAGAGATGGTTATAAACTACTTTGGTCGCCCCAACAGCCTCGATACACCGCAAAAGAGCAGCAAGAGTGCTCTCAGCTTTGACCAGCACAAGTGGAGCCCCAAGAGATTTCAGGGACTGATCCAGGTGGGCAAGAGACTGCTTCAACCACCACCTTGAAACTCGGCCGGGGTAGAACTGGCCTTCTTCTCTAGGGCACCAGATAAAAACAGGCAGAACGGAGCCTTCTCTAGCAGCCGTAGCTACTGCTGGGTTATCTTCAATTCTGAGATCCCTCCTAAACCAAACAATTGTCTTAGACTTGCTACCCATCACAAATTCAAATCATAGATCCACGTAAAGTTTCCTAGAATCTTTCTGAATCTCTTCTCTTGAATCCAAGACTCCGAAGAAGGAAAACCTTAACCACTAATGAAGCTAAAATCAGTTTCAGGAAGCCACATAGGAGAGCCAAATCAAAACCCGAAATAAAAAAGCTTTTGAGGAAATAGATACGTAAGGCCCCAAACTTAACCCTGCAAGATGATGAAATTTGAAGCAGTAATCCCACAAATTTGACTCGTTTGTCAAGGAACCTTTTAAAGAAATTTTAAGCATACCATCTTACTGAAACTGCAGAAGCTCTAACAGCAATCCAAAAATGGCCCCATAAGAAGATAAGAACTCTCTTATCTGCATAATCTGAGCAACCAATCTCCCATCTCCAGACCATTGATCAGAAAGATATTAATACTAGAAATTGAAAATAGAAAAGAAAATTCTTTTCCTTGGATTCACAGATACCATGAACAAGAATCCATCAGTAAACAAAGCCATTATCAATTAAAAGAAAATGAAGCAAAATCCAGAGGGTCTTTAAGAGTTTCAGATTAGTTGTTCCGAGCGGAAGGTCCCTCAAGTGAGAAGGAAAGAAGAGAGGATCAGATTTCAGTAGCACTGCAAGTGGGTACGGGAGATAGACGTACATGAATCCTCCTCTGGGACCTGGCCAATTTCTATGATGCCGAAAAAGTATGATACCGGTGGTCTATAATTCATAACCCCTGTGAATTTTGATCATGAATAGCAATTGATACCGGTTGATTAGTTATCAGTTACCATTATGCCTTATAATTGTTCTAATATTTGCCTACAATGTTAGGACCTTCTTCTCATTGGTCAAATCATGTCCTATCTAATTGAAGAGTTGCTTATTATGTTTCTATTTAACGCCAAAAGGTCACTTAATTCATTGAACTGCACTGAATAAAGTTCTACTACAAGCATCAGTCAGAAAATTAGGGTGAACTGACCAAGAAATTGTAGAAACTTTTAGAATCACAGTATATAATCACCAACTCCATACCATTATTCATAAAACAATCAATATTATTAGAAAAAAACAGTTAACTAAATGGGTATTAGCTCATTGTTATTATTAATTTACTTTTTAGGGAAATTTTCTAATTGGWAGTATCCTGTAATTTGGGTCTTGGTGCCCGAATTTTTAAAATGCGATAATTCAGTACCCAAATTTTTAAAACGTGTCAATTCAGTACCTACCGTTAACTAGCTGTTAATCAGTTGTTAAGTGGCATTTGAAAAAGACACAAATGCCCTTTAAGTGTTATCTATTTTTCTTTATAAATCATCTAAGCATTGACAAAAAATTAAAAGCCCCAAATCCTTACATTTTCTATTCAAGAAAGTCGGGGTCATGATTCCGGTTACTCCAACTTTCTTGAATAGAAGAGGTAAGGATTTGGGACTGTTAACTTTTTGTCATTGTTTAGATGGTTTATAAAGAAAACTAGATGACACTCCGAGGGCATTTATGTCTTTTTCAAGTGCTACTTAATGGCTGGTTAGCAACTAATTAACGGTAGGTATTGGATTGACACGTTTTGAAAGTTAGGGTACTGAATTGTTACATTTTAAAGTTCGGGGACCAAAATAACACTAGACCCAAAGTACAGGATACTAATTGGGAATTTCCCTACTTTTTATTTATACTTTGGGCTCAAGGAGCTTTAAAGCAACACATACAAGAGGGTCGTTGTAAAGAAAAAACATATAAGAGGATTTATAAGAAGAGAAAGTGTTAGGAGACTTAAAAATTGTCTTTAAATTTCCCTCAACTTTTTTTAACAATTGGCTAATTAGTATCCTTTAGTATGTTCCATCACAATCTGTTCATGTGATGCATAGAAATTTTTAAATTCCAATATTATCCTTTTATAGTCTATTTTGCCTCCGCACTTTTTTTGTTTTAAATGCCATTTGATGTTTATCATTCAGCATTGCTAATGGTAAAACTAGAAGAGATGACTGGGGTGTGGTGTGGAATTTTTGTGTCTACATTTTCATTAAGAGCAAATTAATTCAAATGTTTCATTTTGAAAAATTAAAGAACGATAGATAAAATAGTCGTTTTCCAATTTTCCATTAATGGATGCTAATGGTAGTTAAAGATTTAATCATTTGTCAAAAAACTTGGGGGTACTGTAAGGCAATTTTAAATAATAAGGATAGAGTAAGTCAATTTCTTAAAACTTAGGGGTACTTTAAGAGATTTGTCCCTTTTGAGGTTTTCGTTTCTAAAATATATGGGTGCAAATTGGGCAGGTTGGGCTGGGTTTATGGTCAATTCGGGCCTAGCCCTAAAATTTGGGCTTATGGCCCAAGCTCGAGGTCAAACCCGATTTTTCCAACCTAAGCCCAACCTGCACTGTAATTTGATGAAGTCGGATTGGGCTTGGGCTTGGGCCGAGCTCGGGTTGGTCAATGAACCCACTCTAAAATTATACATATATATGCATTTATGCAAATATGTATACATATATTTATGTATATATGTATGCAAAATATGTATCTAAATTGATAAATATGTATACAAATGTGCAAAATTAACATATATATATATATATATACACATATGTGTATAGTTGGGCCGGGTTTAGGCTACCTAAGGGCTAGGCCTGGGCCCAGCCCAAAAATTAAAAAAAGCCAGATTTCTTGGGTCTGAGCCCAACCCAAGGACCAAAAATCCAAGCCCAGCCCATGTAATATTTCGGACAGGGCCTGCCCAAGTTGCACCCCTACTAAAATATCTTTTTATTAGTTTAAAAAATAATWTTCTTTTAAACAAATTGTGCAAATTGAAAGTTTTCTCACATTCTCTTGAGTTTTTTTCCTATCTGGGTGCAAATATCGCATTTTCTTAAGAAAAAGAACATTTATATTGGTAAATACCCCCTCTAAAATTCTAGAAAAAATACTTGAAAAATAAAACACTATCAAAGATCCCGATCGCTGACCTTTCATGGTCAATTCAACTAGTTCATTCATGTCAACCTGATTGGTGAGATGAACTGATGATAGATCTCGTTAGGCTTAGTTTGGAAGGAGTACAAAACCATATATTTTATATCATTCTGTATGTATTTATGTATTTATAGTGTACATATTTGCATTTGTACTTACAAGAGGTTTAATGCAAAGAAGATGAATTTAGATCTGCGCTCGACAAGGGCGTCCCTAGTGGGGCGCAGATGTGAACTCAAAGAAGATATGATGAAATGGCAACAATGAATAGAAAATTAGGAATAGAGAAGAAAATGTAATTGCAGTGCTTTACAAAGTTAAGATGAACTCTTTTACTTTGGAAACCCATCTATTTTCCCCCTTGTTTTATTGGTTACGTTTTTTGTTATTGTAAAGGTTTTTATTTGATGAAATCCTTCCGTATCATGTCTTTTGGCATTATAGAGTTTTCTTAAATTATTAAATATAGAAAATCAAAGCTAAAAAAGAAAAACCACTCCAATAAAATCCTTTTTCCACCAGAAAACCAACACAATTATACTGTCTGTTTATTAAAATTTCCGTCCTCCTTCTGTGGAGTCCGGATCTACTACTACTACCCACAAGACGCTCACCTAACTATGTTCCTAATGTTCAAATCAGCTTAATTTGTAGTGTATTTATTGGTGGCGTGTGGGTAGCAGATCCGATCCGAGCTTCTCTCATCAGTCTCCACCACAGACCAAGTCTATAATGGAATGAGATTGGATCTGCGCCTCACATAGGATGCTTTATACGCACATCCTGTCATGCATTGTAAGTTATTTTTCATGAGAGATATTCCCAATGTATGATGAATGTGAATGTGAAGCGCCCAAGTGTGAGGAGCAGATATCATGCTGTCGTGTGTCACTTAATCCATAAACTGTCGTGTCACTCAAAACACCTACATTCACGTGGATACCTTAGCGATTTGGCTGTTGAGACAATTTCTGGGCTGGGCACGTTCTGGCCAGTTCATTACTAATTTATTCATTTTCATAATGACTTGGCATTTCTAGATATTATCTACAGCATCGGCTGTTATGCTRTTGGGTAAAGTTTTTCCTAACTAATCGAACTATCCAGAATCAAGGGACCACTTAATGTCAGAGCCCAGAGGATCATTCGGAAGTCGCTGTCGCTGTTGTACAAGGAGTGAAAGCTTTGAAWTGCCACCGGCCAATAATAATTGGATTCCAGTGATTGATTAAATTTGGGCGGGTTTGATGTTTGACTTTAGTTTTTTAAAAATAAACCCGAGAAAATCGGTTTCATTCATTCCAATCCACTTCTTGATGGGTTTCCAGATAGGTTTGATAAATGTTAGAGGTTCAACCCAATCCAACCTTAAAAGTCCGAACCCAATAAAAGGTGGAGCAAGAGCAGAGGCTGGCATGGATGGAAGGATAAAGGTATAATTTAGAGCAAAAGACTTAAATCTTCCCCGACTCCCTGAGATTTCTAAAAATTACTTACCTCCCCTCCTGTTTTAAACAGGACTTGAAAATTGAACCTCCCTTACTAAAATGAGGTATCGTTATATTTGACGGAATTGAAAAAAATACATTCTTACCCTTTGTTTTTTTTCAAATTTATTAACAAAACCACCGAAATAGTATACAGTTCCTCGCTCACATTTTATCCATCTCATTTGTAAGCAATTCTTGGTCAATGTGGGACCAGCGTTATTTTAAAAATTTAAGTCCTCTACAATGCTTCCAAGGAAACCATTTGTATGTGAAAACCCACAAAGCATTCTACTCTAGTCTCCAGAAAGAAACAGTCCTGCAAAAATCCAAATTCCCAAACCCATGGAAACCCGCATCACACAAAATATCAGATAAGGGAAAGAAGATATCAGGCACTTCTAAGACAAAAAAAAAAAAGCACAACGTTTTTTTCTTTTTTTTTTTTTACAAGTGCATCAAATTTGTTAGTGAATAGTGACCCCCGTCCAATTTGTTAGTGAATAGAGAAAAAAAAAATCAGAGCTGCTTTAGGGCTCTAAACGATAGAATAAAACTAACTGGCAGAAATCCAATGAAATGTGATGAAAGGTGATTTGGCATGACTTAGTAAGAAGGGGACACGTAGGCGCGATTTGATCGAGGGGTGACAACTCAGCTAAGCGAACCTAGTTCGTAATGTTCGGAGCTCGGGCACTCAACCACATCGGCCCAAAAAATCACCTCAGTGTAGAGGCACCTCGACACCCAATCCAGTTCGGGATCAAAGAATCGAAGTGCCAGTTCGGGGCTGGAGAGTCAAAATACCACATGATTGACTCTAAAGGCCTCCTTAACGGGCCCTGAATTTCTCGGGATCACGATGAGACTCATCCTAGCTCTGCCCGAAATGGAGGTAAACGATAAACCTTATCAACATACTCCTCTCCTTCAAAAACAGAACAAACCTTATCTGCGCAACCCAGAGTTCTCGGAGATCTTTCGTAAGGCCCACGACTAATTCAATATATAAAGTCATGAAACCTCAAGGCAAAGGTACGCGTGATTATTCTACTCACTAGCACTCAAGTTCTCAAGCATTCAGCTCGCATTCACAGCATAAGTATTGACTTAAGCATCAGAGCGACCTTGTCGGGTTAGCTACCTCGGGTTCTCTGATCCACTATTTTGCAGATCGGTCCAGCTCGCCGCCCAATTGGAGTTCGGATCACCTTCCAGCTAGGAGCAGCCAGATCGCGCACCATCAAT